TAATTAACCTCAAGATCAAACATCTAAATCCCAGAGTTGCTTGCTCTTCTTTTTCAAACTGCATCATTTTATATCATACACAGAATTTCTCAAACTGGGAATCGTGGGGATTTGGGTGTTTTCTTTTTCTGCCTGTAGATAGCCACCATGTACATTGTAGAATGGTTAACAACTCCTTCAGCTTCTACATACCACTATGATTTAAAAACAAAACATTATCAGTGAACATTGTCAAATAACCTTAAGGGGGAAAATTACCCCATTTTGAAATTACCATTGTATGTTCATTGATGTTCTACTTAAGAATGGAAATATGTATGTTAGTAAATTCCTGGAATATGGATGCACTGTGATAGGTTACTTCTGTCTGCCTGAAGAGGCTAGGATAACATCAGGAACAATGATTGGAATTATTCTAGCCAGCAGAATTCATACAGCACATTCCAAGTGGTACTTAGAGAATCTGGAAACATTTAAGAGTCACCGTCACCAATTCCGGGATGGAAAACTTCCATATCCTTGATTTTCACCTTCATTTTGCTTTCCAAAGTATCGAAAATGATTTCAGATTTGAAAGGAAGAATTATTTCTGGGAAGTTGGAAACACACATAAATACTCTGCTGAAGTCTTGAAACTGAGAATTTCAAGATTCAGCAGAGCTGGCGCTGCCTCTCGATAGCTGGACCAGACCCAAGTACAAGGTGCTATTAGGCAGCATCATATAAAGAATGGATCACCAGGCAGCAGCAAGCTGTCCTAGTGTTATTTTCCCGAATTCACATTCAGCCTGGCAGGACTTCGGCAGGACTCTCCCAGCCAGTAATGCTAATTCAGGTGTCCTTACATCTCTTCACCTTTACAATAGATGTTCTTGTGGCATCTCCTAAACTGCACATTTGGATCATCCTAACTTGATCTAACATGTCTCTCCAACCCCTTCTACCATCCATATCAGAAAATATTCTGACTTATTTTAATGGCTTTGTACACACCTGTCTCTATGTCCAAAATGCATTTCCTATACAGCTTTGCTGGCCAGATTGCTGCCCCTTTCTTCCATGCTCAGTTCAAATTTGCTTTCTTCAGGAACCTGCTGCAGTTCAGATTCCTTACCTGAGAATGTTTCTGTTCCAATCAATCTCTTTTCTAAGCACCAGTGACTCACACTTCTCACACAGCACAAACAAAACTACGACTTTTATAAATTTGTTAATTTCTCAGGCCATTGAAGTTACATAGAGGCAGAAGCGGCATTTAGTTCATGTATATCTGTCCCATTTTGCCAAAATATGCAAACCGTGCTCCATAGATAAGTTCTGAAATGCCACATCTGCAAAAGAAGAAGCTACTTTTTTTTTTTTTTACATGCTCATTCATTCCCTTTCCTCTGGTTTATGAGCAGAGAGTAACTTTTTACGTTTAATTAAAATTAAAAAGATGAAATGTAAGTATAGTATTTGAATTATGGAGATGTTTAAGGAAGATGTGTAGGAAGAGCAATCATAACAGTCTCAGAGGATCTTTACTTATCTTCCATCAATGTCAAACATTTAACATCATGAGATCTTAATAAGAAGATTTCTTAATATATAGGAATTGGTGATAATATAGTAAGATCATGCATTTTCTAATGACTTATTCAGACTTCCAATGAAGTACTCAGCACCCCTACAGATTTTTTTTCTAAAAATTCCTATTCCTGACCTACTTTCACTTTGTGTACTTCGTGTTAGAAATCATTATGCATTTGTCAATCTTAACACTCCATGTGGGAGTTTAAAAAGGATTGCAAGTTTTCATATAGGCCTAGAAAATTGAAATGGAAAATTTTCACTTAATATAATCATAAGATAAGTCTTCAGTAACTCCACAAATAATTTGCAACATATGAACTTATGCAAGTTATTTTAATAAATAGATGAGAAAGATAACATAGCATTTAGGTAATAGTTAGGGAAAGCTATGAAAAGAAGATAAAATAAGATAATCCCTTAAAAGAGAGTTTACAAATGTTACAGGATGTTCATTTAATTTATCACAAAATGTAATTTGTATGAATCATTTTTTTAAAAAAAATTAAAATTTCCAAACTCTCTTAACATAAACTTCTATATGTAATAGACTTAAAAATGTAGATCTAAGGGAAAATAGCTTCAAAATATAATTTAAGAATTGTTAGATAATAAGCACTGAGCTACTTAACTGTCTAATGAAATTAAAGAATATCACATCCGATCCATTTTTATTTAGGTTTAAAAATATACAGCAATAAGTTAGTGGTAGAGGGATATCGGTATAATTGGTCTTCTTGAGAATAAGATGGGATTTCTGTGAGATGTGTGGGAGATAATAAATTGAAATTAATTTTAATTGATTAATTAAAATCAAATCAGCTTCACTTTTGATGAACTACAGTGAATTTAACTATTATGGTATTGCTGCTTTTCTGTCTGACCTCTGAAGAGACCCATAGTTTATACTACACAGTCAGAGTGGAGGAAGAAAGTCAAGTTCAAATATGCTAGGCATAATTTAGCCATATCAAATTGCTTGGCTTGTCCTTTATTTTATGTTAGTAGCTCTTGAAATTATTAGATTCTCATCCACTTATATGTATGTATATATACTTTTAATATTACTATCATTTTAATATTATCTATCATTTGGGGCTGGGGAGAGATAATAACACAAAAGTTGTATAGCACTTTTAAAGATGACAATTATCCAGTTATCAATATTTGGTCTGATGTCTTCTATAATTGTATTCTAGGTCAAATTCTAGAAAAAGATGTCCTTTTGTTCTGTAAATTCCATTTGGTAGCTGTAATATAGGATTTGGAAATAATTATCAGTAACAGTAAAAGAAAGAGGGTAATATTAAGTCAGACATAATTCAATAGTCTGCTCAAGCACTACCACTACACACACACACACACACACACAGACACACACACACACACACACACCTTCCAGGACTGCCTGCAACTCATGAGTCTACTTCCTCAGTTTCCCAAGTATTAGGGTGACAGAAACATACCACCACATTTAAGACAAGAATGATGCCTATGACTCTCGTAATGTGTTTTTCTTGTTTATTTGTTTGTTTGTTTTATTTTCTTGGAGACTGAAAGTACTTTTTTTCCTTTTCAAATTATTCACAGAAAGTTAGGGAACTATCAACGAAGCAAAGATATAAGAGTATTAAAAGGAAAATAATATTGGCAGCATAATTTGAAAAAAAAGGTTTCAGGAGATGACTATTTGGAGAAGAAATGAAATGCTGCAAGATTTTAGAATTGAGAAAATCTGGACTGGCCACTCAAATTAGATACCTACTTCTAAGTGCAGGCCTCTTAGCTGCTTCTCCTTAGATGTGCTTTGCTGCTTTGGAGCTCCATGTGAATTAATTGTATAAAGCTTTGCAACATAGAAAGTCTTCTAGAGCCAGAATTTCCCTATCTCAAATAAGTCTGTGCAATTATTTTGCTTGTTGATCTGAGTGCCCCAGTAAACCAGGAAAGAAATAAGAATACTTTTCTTGTAAACTGTCACAAATGCCAATTACTTCAACAAAATACAAGCTATGAAAAATGGACCAAAGCTCAAAATTTGTGTTTTACCTCTAAAAAAAATGCTGAAATTTTTTTGAGTAAGTTCTGTGACTTTGTGGAGCTATAAACTTCTAATATCTCATAGCAAAAAATAGGTTATGTTGTTCAAAAATAACCGAAGTAATATGTTTTTAAGCTAATCGGTGATGAGTCAGCCTATGTGAGCCACAGTTTTTGCTGCCATCTTCAAAAGTAGCTGTAATTTCTGAGACTGGTAATTCATGGACATGTACTAAGAGGTTCCTGTAAGCTGTGCTCAAGATCTCCTCCTAATTGTGTCATAGCCAGAAAGGGCTCTTCACCTGAATGATTCCATTCTCTCTCAACCTTCGTCACATGATTCATATGACAGAATTGTCAGTGCCTTGATCTACCCTTACACTTTAAAGCAAGAAATGGAATTGGCTAACCGTGTTTGCTACTCCTATGAAAGAGCAAGTCATTTCCTATCTTCATAGGTATCACTAAGGTACAAACTGTAAGAACTCTGCATGCAAAATGTGGTGTTTCTCTGAACCTTAGAACCCTTCTATAGCCATTAGCATCTAGCTTAATGTTCAAGGAAAGAAAAAGACCAACATATCAATGAACCAAAATGTGGATAGGTAACTATTAATCTGTGCTAATAATTTAAATTAATGCAACAAAAATTGTGGGTGATGTCATAAAAACTAAAACAAAACTGCCTATGGAGCAAGATATTATGTGGGTGTGAATTGTATAAGTTGTCACCTGATGTGAATTAGCAAGAATGCAGGGTGTTCTAGGTAACTCAGGAAAACCAGGAGTAATCCAATGAGCTTTCTGAAGAACTGGGTGGCCTAAAACTTTCCCAGTTGCTTTGATCACCTGATTGCAATCCAAGAAGCACCTTGCAGCCACAGAGTAATATTGGAGCACATCAAACACATGAATGAGTTCAACAAATCCTTACCGAAATGGTAAGAGGCTTATGATTTAAAAATGTTTAAATAAATGTACACTTCCTGTATATGTTCTTATAAAATGATGCCTTAAACATTCATATGAGACAGGGAGGAATTTTATGATGTGACTTTTCTGCATAATTACGGGATCTTATATCAAATTATTGTTACATCAAATGTAAATATGAAAGGTATAAGAATACATAGGTCATAGTTTCATGGTAATTATTTGACTAACTCACTTTTCCAAGATATTTAAAAGAATATTAATTCATTTCTGTTAGAAACTAATGGCAGGCATTAAGTAACTTTCTAATCTCCTTTTATGGGAAAGCAGATAATTGGCAAAGACAATTATAATACCATATTTGTTTTTCCAAAATAATAATGGTTAGGGTCGTTGGTGGTGTGCAGTGGAGAATACATCACTTCTGTGTTAATGAATTCACAGGAAGGCAATACCACTATTAGTAATAGCTTTTTATTCAGAGTCCTCATTTTCCAGACAGGTCACATGAAACACAGCCATTAAACATTAGCGTTGAGATAAATCCATACAATGTATGCTGCTTTTTGTTGTCGCTGTCCTTGTTCACCAATCACTTGGTGCAGGAAGAACCTTATGAAGTGATGGGACTGATAAATGGAAATAGCTAACCTGCAAAACACTGGGGCCAGGAGAGTCAGACTTTAATCAGGTCTCATTCAATTAGGTTTCAAATCAACACAACTTGATAGCCAAAACTCTCGTGGAATTAATGCTCTGATAAATGTTGTCTCTTGTCAAAAGATTATAATTAGACAATAATGAGTAGGTACATATTATGCTGGTCCTTAGTCTATTTGTTGACCCCAGCAACTTCCACTCCATTAGACAACAAACAGCTTTTAACTTGGTTCTCATAAGCATACTGCTCATTATTACATGACTATTTTTTGTGGTGCTTTTTTTTTTTTTTTTTTTAAATTTGAGCAGTGTCTACATCCTTAAAAAGAAAGCCATGTTTTATAAGAACTCAGTTGATTTAGGGAAAGAAACAACCAATTTCTCACCCAGGAATTCAGTGAATCTATGGCACAGGTTCCAATTTTTGTCTGTTGTTTGCAATGGGGGTAAGTTTGTTGGTTAAAGAAACAATGTGAAAACCTTCTTTGAGATTACATAAGACATTGCTCTTAAATGTTTACTTTGATATGGTATCACACTTATTCTTACTATTTTGAACTTTAATGAAAACATTTTCATTATTAACAGATGGTGAACGATTTCACTACTAAAGTTTTATTTGTAGTTCACCATTAAGCATTTTTTTTTTTTTTAGTGTTTTGAGTCTTTTGCTAAATTTCCCCAAATGGAATTGTCTTCTACTTGAATAGCTCTAGGGACATAAAAGACATTATTTCTCATCTTATGCATGTACATTTGCAAAGCACTCTACATTCCAGAAACGTCTTCAATTCTACTGATTCTGTACCACCCATTAGAGACATTGTTCCCCAAATGTATGATTTTGGCATAGCAAAGGCTTCCTTGGAAGCCAAGCACCAGAGTTCTGTGATGAAGGCAGGTCCCAGGGAGATGAATAAAAGCAAGATTCCCTCAACTACAAAGCTCAGAGTCCTGACTTGAACTACCACCAACTTGTAAATAAATAATCACTACTAAATACAGAAAAGGTATTAAACAGCTAACACTAGTAAATCACTGGTGGCCGCTTCTTGTCTATCCCTCACATACTGGTTCAACCAATTCTGAGACTCGCAGAGTGTGTCAGCGTCATCAGACACTATACCTTGAACAACTGGTTACTTAGAATCAAGAAGTTTTAAAAAATAAACCTATTCTTTGTGTTGAATTCATTGGCGCACTGCTTAGACTTTACTATGTGGTTATCTGAATAGTGAGAGAGAGGCAAAGCTGGGAAAGACTAAAAGGGAAGCGTTTTCCGTCAGTTTTCAACTATCTATCAATCTAAGTCATTTTGTAGTCTCCTGAAAAAAAGTAATATCATAGAACAGAGACAACACACTGTAGATACATAAAATTGGCCAAAATATGGTGTTAATTGTGTTTTACATGTACAAGATCCGTTCTTTTCTAATTTAAACATGTATGGATAACAGAAAGCGTGAGTAGAACTGTGGAAAGGCTGTTACCAAGAACCAAGTGCGGTTCTCAAGAGAATAAGGCTGTGGGGAGTCACCCATTTTTACCCCCAAAGCAATTGTTGCGAGTGAGGTACGATCTAAAACTTCTGTGAAATGATGGAAAGAGTTCCAGCGGATATATTTAATTACAAAACTGAATTTAGTTTAATGTTTGTTTTACTTTTTCTTTTGTTTTTAGTATAAGGATTTTATGACATTTATGCTGTTTCTACACTGGCTTGGTGGCCAGAAAAGAAGGCACAAAATTCTCTCCCAGTTTGTAAATAATCACTTTTTTTTTCTGCTCCAGTGCACAAACAGCCTTTATTTAACTCAGCACCACATTTTCCAAGGTATGGGCTCAAACTGTTTGCCATGAAGCTGTTAAATGCCAAAAACAAAATTTAAATGCTGAAGGAAAATGTCAATCAAGGCATTTCTCCATCTGCTACTACTTCTGTGAGTGCTAATTTTATTTTTCCCAATTCCTGAAATTAGAGTTGTCTTAGCTTAAGAAGGAAGGGCGTTGGAAACTTGCTAAATGTCATAAGAAAAGGTGTAACCAAGTGATGGAATAAAGGGTATTGTTCTCAAAGGACACCAATAGAAGGAGGCAGAATAACACAGAGCTAAAGAAAAACAGATTTTGTTAACACCAAGACCACTTAAAACACAGTACACAATGCATGTAACCAGTACTGGTACTACACATGCATTAAAACATTTGCCATGTTTAGTAATATGATGTACACATACACCTGAACCACTGAAGATACTTTTGAGAACCAATCAATGCTATGCTATCTACATAGGCAGAAGCTTTATGTTATTGAAAACATGGTAAAGAATTTCCAGGTATTGGTACAAAATGTAGTTCTTGTTCTTGTGATTTATCATGACTTTAATCAAAGCTTCTACAAGGACTTGCACAGAACTATGAATGACAGATGTATTTTTTTGGACCTTTCAGTTAGCTCCATCAGCTCACTCAAACACGTTTTGAACAGAATTATGTACTGTAGTACTTGGTAGACTATACATTAAACAAGAGACTTTGCTCTGAGGCACTGCTTCCCACGCTCCATGGGGAAAAGGAAGCAGGAAAAAACAAAACTCATAGAGTTCGACAGCTACCGAGGCAACACTTGCCATTTACAATATAAGCCCAAATATTTTTGCAACACAACTATATATTAATTTAATAAAATACACAATATAGCTCTTATACACTCAACAATTTGGCTCATATGCACGGAATCTGCAATAAATCAATAAAAATATGTCATTTGATGTAAACACATTGAATCTTCTTACATCTGCACATTTAAATGGTCATGTGATCAGTTATGTCTAATTTTTTCACTTTCCTGAGCTATTTCAGTGTCCAAAAATGAATTAACATTTAAGTCATCTTAATTTTCTCTCAATAGTACCACTCAATAATAGCCCATGATTCAGATTTGTTCAAATGTAAAACAAATTCACCATCATTTATATCTTTGTTGGACACTAAAATGCTAAATAGACATTTTTAAGTCTTCAAATTTTCTTCTTTAATGAAGTGAATAGGTCTGCATGTGTTCAGGACAACACGGACTATATCTTTTTACATTGAACTTTTAAACGACATGAGGTGTCTTACAAATGACCAAGGTTTTTTCGTTGTTGTATTTTTTTTTCTGTTTTGTTATTATTATTATTATATATATACTTTTGCTTTCTGACTAATGATATGAAATGGTCTTTGTGTTTCTATGCTTGGCAGGTACTTTATACAGAAATGTTTACCACAAATATGTGTTAATGTTTGGTGTAGCTTGGACTACTGCAAGGTCTTTTCAGGACTTTCAGTAGAAGCCTGTGATGTCAGCTAGAAACCCACCACAGATAACAAATAAGACCCTGCTTTGTATGGGGTTTATAGGTAAACAGTTAAGTCAGCATCGATCTCGGAGGACAGTCTTAGAGCAATCAGAAATACTTGAAGTCTCACGCTGAATACCTTCCTAACAGATTGTCAAAAGGTAACTTGTCTCCTCATCCTCCTTTGTCTTCTCTCTCTCCTCCGTTTTCTTCACTCTCTCTTTTCTCGTTTCTCCTTAAGCGTCATTAATTCTGTCCTAATATATGTTTGGTCAAAACCATTGTTATTTCTGTAAAAGAAACAGCAGTGAAAAGAACATACTTGTGGGCACTTCAGATGTTCACTAAAAGCCTTAAAGCAGCACTGTTCTTGGTCCACCCCTGTAAAATGGGTTGTCACTTGGGGAGTAATCATGTTTAAATCAACAGAAGAGACAAGAAAAAACGCCAAGGCCCTTTTCCCCCTCACTTTCTCACAGCGACAGGGTCATTTCCCCGGCAGTCCTGCAAGAGCTTGTCAATCTCTCTCACAACTTCTTCTGCATCCACCGACTCTCTGCCCAGATCTCTGTTGGAGTGATCCAGCTGTTCCAGCACTGCTCCCATCTCGCTGGAATCCCTGCTGGCTCTGGAATGCACATCCGCAAAGACTCTTGCCATCTGGTCAGAAGCCATGAAGGAAGGGTCTCTTGGTTGCTTACTGGGCGACAGATACTGACTGTCAGTAGGCAGGTAGGAACTGCTTGCTTCGGCTAGAGCTCCCGGTTTTGCTTCGCAGCCATCCAGGGAACCTTTTGTGGAGGCGCAAGGCTCAATGCATGCCTTGGTGGGGCTGTTAGATGCTGAGGGGACCTCTTGGAGGAGAGGGCTCAGGGCACGTTTGGCTTTTAAATAAGGTTTCACATTGGCAATGAGAATAGTGTGCTCTCGCTTGTCTTTTCCAAATGTACAAAAAGTCTTTTTCCCAGTGGGGTTCACAGTTTCATAAGTCTCAGTCTCAACATTAGCTTCAACTGTGGGTACAAAGAGATTTGTGCGGTAATCTGCATTTTCAGCCTGATTGGCTGCAGGGAACTGTGGCATCCAACACCTATCAGAATGACCAAGCACTCGACATTCATCTGTGCAATTAATGCACTCTTCCGGTTCTGCAAAACAAAAAGAGAAAAGAAAACAACAAATCCAATCATTAGAGTTTCATTGACATTTCTACTTGAGGCTGTGATCAGCTCTCAGTGGGCTTGCTTGACCTCTGGTCTTTTAATTAAAAAGGAAAAGAAAACAATAATTAAAACATTTCAGGATGGTTGCATAAACCTGCTGGTTGAGACAATGGTTTTATTTAAGACTATTCTCCAGATATTAAGGAATTCCCATAGCCTGGGAAGAAGTAAAAGGTGGCCACAGGAGAATGATTCTCGATGGAATCATTGTAACCTAATCCCCTGGGGAATTCAGTCTTTGTTCTATGTAACCTGTTCTGGAAACAGCGAATTTCAAAAAAGCCGGTCAGAAATCAATTTGTTAAATCAAATAACAAACTGGTAAAAAGGGGATCACAAATTTCCATAAAAAGTGCTAAGCAACTTTTCAAATATTTCATCCTTATTTTACTTGTAATTGTTATTTTGGTGACAGTCATGAAATAAAAGGGTTGCTTTCTAAGCTGAGTTTTTCCCCACTGAGAGTGGAAAATGGAATTTTTTTTTCTATCAGACTGGGTTATGAATAAGCTTGTCAAAAGAGCACTTTCCTGTTTTATTATATATGCATGTGGATCCTGTTATCAATTTCCTTTACTTTCGGGTTTTGTTTTTGCTGTAAGTAGGTGAAAATGGATTTACTCAAAAGGTGAAGTTCGGAATAATGACACTTGGTGATTTCCTACCCTGAGAAATAATGTTTTCTGTGGGAAGTTGTACTTCTCTCTGTTGCCAGTAAAGATATGGAGAATTTATACGAAACATTATTTAATGATTACTATTTTAAAGATGCGGAAGAAGAAACGTGAAGTAAAATGCCTTTGTTGTGCGGGTAGCTATGAACTTCCTATTGACCCCAATATGTTTAACCTATGGCAGTGAATGACGTTCTCTCTGCTGTTCTTTCCTCTGTGAGTCATTGCTTCCCTTTTGTTTGATGATGCACTTTAGATCAGGGACTTCTACTAGGATTAGAGGATATTTACAATTTACCTCTATGTGATGGGAATAGAATTCCCTACACATTTAGCAGCCCAGGGGATTGCCTTTTAATTGATGCTAGATGAGCCCTACAAATAAATGGTGTGTTCTGCAAGGAAAGAGAAGTCTACAAATAATACATGTGAAATAGGAAGCCTCAAATTTAGAATGATTTGTATGGTAATATCTCAGTCACACAAAACATCTGATTTTTTATTTAAAGCCCATAGAGAATGTCTTATCAATCAGCCAAACATACCCAGCAACTATTTTACCACAAGAAATTTGAGCCAAGAGATAATAGTTATTTTACCAAGTATCAGAGTGACACCTTGACAAGACAAAATATTGTGATATTTCATACCATGCATAATTTACACTTGTGAATTTTTTAAAAGTATTTAGTCTGCTTGCATCTACTTTAACTTGCCATTTTTAAATAAATATTTTCCTTGGAATAAATGTGGTATTCCCTTTTAAACTTATTATGTAAAGCAGGCAAGAGTCTTGAGGAGTAGTCTGAATCATGAGCCAATAGAGAAAACAATCTCTGACTGGAAGCCTGCTAAGAGGAACATGAACCACATGAGAAGAACCCGGACCTCCAGAACATTGTGGAAAGCCTCATTATGAATTTAAATAAGAGTTCAGGTTACAATGTATTTTTAATGTCTGAACGGTTCAGCATCAGATATTTTCATTACCTAATCTGAATGGCCATCATGACTTTGTTAATCTTTTGTATCCTTTAGAGCCAGGCATTTTATCTTAAAATCATTTACAACTAATACGCTCTTTTTGAAATTTGCCAACATGGTTCTATATTTCAATATTGACTGGACTTCCATTTCAGCTTTTTAAATAACCAGCAGTGAATGAAGTCAACATGGATTTAAGGTCAGAGAAAGAGAAAGACTAATGCAGATTTAAGAAAATGTGAATCGACCCTGAATTTGAAACCACCAACCTAAAACAACTGTTTGTGCTTCACCGCTGCACAACACAGCTTTGTACATGACTCCTTTATGTCACATTCTGGGGAGCAAATTTCGAGTATTGATTATGATAAAATACAAGCTATTCACATTGTGATTAGACCATAATTTTGACGCCAGCCGTTCACAGACAGGAAAAATCGAATGGCATTTGTGTATAAACAGCAGAAACTATGAGCATAAAGTAAGCTATAACTGCCAAAGTTCAAGTAAGAATTTATGAATGGAATCTTACTGAAAGAACAGAAGTAAATAGTCAAGTGGGTAGGCATTAAAGAGTCGTCTTTATATTCATAGAATAATTAGCTAGAAAGAATTATTAGAAAAATTGAAACAACCGAAAGTAAAGAGAGAATGAATAGAAAAGAAGGATAGAAGGAGGTAGAAAATGAGTGGGTCCGAAAGAATGGAAAGGAGTCAAGAAAGGAGAGAGTTAACAATAGAAAGGTGATAGAGAAATATAAATAGAAACAAGGTTCTTATGAAGGTGTACATTGAAACACGGTTGCATCTACTAGGAGGAGAGGGGCCACATGTTTCATCTATCATATATATTTTAAATCTTCTTCATAAATAAGCTAAGTGTGTGTGATAAAGGAAATAATGCAAAGTCTTCTCTGGCATTACAATTATAGAAGAAGAGAATGAATTTGTTCCCTGTGTCTTAAAAGGAATAATCCAAGGAAAGACATGTAGAAGAATAAAACTACAAGTCTGGAGAGTGTGGAGAAGCATGCCACCTTTATTGATATAGATTTGGTGTTTGTGTTAGTCAAGTAGAGAGGCCTTGGGCAAAAGCTCTCACAGCTGAGTTGATTTGATCCAATTTACCTTCAAATTTGAGATTACCTAGAAATAATTCACGTTTATTGTCATCCTTACTTCAATACAACATGGTCAACCTTTAAAAGAAAGTGATCATTTTAAGTAAGACTGTAGAACCCTAAAAAAAAAAAATACATATGATAGAAACTGTAGCATTGCAAAGCCCAAACAAGCTAAACCAAACAAAACCAAAACAAAACAATCTTGAACATTAACAAATAATGAATATAGGTCACAGAGACTGATATCTTTCATATCTAATTCTAATGTAAGGAAACACCTCATGAGAAAGAAGTTTCATTTACTTGGTATTAAGACTCATTTTTAGTTAAAGGTAGTGCTAGATGCCTGTAAACCATTCTAAATTTCAGGACAGTCTAAATTGGGACTCTGGACTGTATATATTCCAAGTGTGTGTGTGTGTGTGTGTGTGTGTGTGTGTGTGTATAATATATTATAACCAGCTCTCAGGAAGCTGAGGTAGGAGGATAGCCAGTTCAGTCTTTTAGCTTGGGCCACAAAGTAAGATCTTGTCAAATAGAAAAAAAAAAGGAAGGAAGGAAGGAAGGAAGGAAGGAAGGAAGGAAGGACAGAAAGAATGAAAGAAAGATTGGTAGATAGATAGATAGAATCGTAAAGAATAATCAATACATACCATATTAATTAACAACTTTTCTGTATGTTTAAGAGTGGGAAATCAGTGATGAGATCAATAACTTAACTATTTTTACTTTATATTTTCATTACATATACTTAGATCATTGAACTTTTATTAAGTTTAGTGAAAAGGACAGCATGATTTAGCCTCTATACTGAGAATTTAACCTTGGAATGTCAATACATCATTAGACATACTTAGCTAATCTGATGCTCAATGAAAGGTGTTGTCAACTACAGTGAACATTAAAACTAAAAGTCAAGACATTGAAGCAAACAAGGGTGAACAAAAAAAAGTGAGCCATTGTTAGACACCTTTGTCAGGTGATTTTCTGTGTGTGTGTGTGTGTGTGTGTGTGTGTGTGTGTGTGTGTTCATCCATTATAGAGGAAACCTATTGAATAATCAGCCAGAAAAAAATAATTCTTGTTGAGTCTATCTCATTAGTCAGTTCTGTCTTGCTATCAGTCAGAAACTTATCACAAATATAAAGTTTAAACTTATTCCTTGGTCTTTAGAGAACTAGACAGCACACTTAAGAAAAAAAAAGACTTAGCAATTAACCTGTTACCACTTTTGCTACCTCCAAAGTTTGCGTGTTCTTTTATGTGAGAAAACATGCAGAGAGAATTTCCAGCATCAGAGTGTGCACATACTTCCAGCTCCCATTCTGATCTACTTAGAAATACATACACACATTATATATATATATATATATATATATATATATATATATATATATATATATAATGTATATATATACATACATACACTGATGTAATAATGACACAGAAGTTCTGAAACCCGTCTATAAATCAGGGTGTCAGTGAGGATGTTCTACAGTGCTGTGGCTGTGGGGATAGATACTTAATACTCTTTTGTGTTTTGTGACTACCAGCAAGATGTTTTCATTTCTAACTGTAAACAGCTTTAAATAGGAATAGTGCTCTTCATTACAGCAGTTGTTGGTAGTGTTTGTTAGAACATCTCAACATAAGAGCTGTTTCTTTGCAGATCACTCTATGATGGGAAGTCCATTTTTATTTACATTTTACTTCTTTTATTTCAAATTTGCTTTATTTCACCAATGTAAGCTTCCATGGCACGTACTAGCTGTCTGGGGAGTGGAATAAGCATTGATCTGTATTTCCAGATGGCATGGAACTCTTCAGATCAGTTCTATATAATGTAAACACAATGTACATTTCAGATTCTCACCTACTTGTATCCTTGACAAAAAAAAAAAAGCATTTGACTGAAAATCAGGACATACAGCTTCATACACCAGCCTACTGATTCCCTTTTCTATCTTCAATGCTTATATATAAATGCACATAGCAAGGTGTACATGCTTCTCTTAGAGCAAAATGCATCTTCAAATATATTCTTATATATCAGAAAAAATATCACTGCCAAATTGGGAATCTTGTTAGAATACAGTTCAACAAGCCTAATAAAGCAGGATTTCTTTTACTAAGTTGGCATGAT